TTCTGAAATGGAGGGCTTATTGCAGAAGGAATCATTTCTTCAATGAAGAAAAGAGAAACTAGTTTGATAAACAATGAGATCTTGCTGGGTTCAGTATATAGAGATCCGAAACACCGAATTTTTTTGGATGACGAACAAATTAAAAAGGCACAGAAAGTCATCTATGAACTTTCATTAAGAATGAAATTATTCTCAGAATAATTAGAGAATTCGAATCAGGACCGTCAAACTACAGACATTGCAATTGAGTCTCTATCATCCTTTTCCAGTGATGAATTAGATTTTGAGAAATATTTTTTGATAATATTGAAAAGGCTACGGCAAAGCGAATTAAAATAAAGGAACAAGAGCCTTAAGATATGAAAATGAAAAAATACAAACAAGATTTCTACACGGGCTTTGAAGAAATAGAGAAATATGATTGCAAGACACCTCTTTTAGAACCTTATAAAAAATCTATCCTGAAAAGTTAAAAGAAGTAGCCCTAACAGTAACAGCTCTTCCTCCTACTCAAGTTAGTGTGGAAAGACTCTTCTCAGCTCTGAAGTTTATCAAATCGGATCTATGGCTCTCCAACAAAGAAAAGAAAATCTTGCTGAAGCTATAACTGTTTCTTAGAAATAACTAATGCCAGTTTTTCCATTTCATAATAAATGCTAATTAATATAAATGGTCATTGCTATGTGCCATCTGTTTTTTTTTTATTTTTCCCCTGTACCATCTATTACTTCTTTTATATTAAAAAAAATATTAGCAATCTTGGCAGCTGTAACCCATGTGTATATGTTAACATATATATACAGTCAAAAGTCGTTAATTCGGACTTTACCCATAATTCCGGAATCGGATCGGTATTTAATCCCTACCGACCTCACCTCAAAGCTACAAACTTTCTGCGCATGCGTCGCGTTGACCGCTGCGAATTTACGTGTGCGCAAAATACGTTTACGAATGCGCGTTTAATGTATAACGGACGGGATAAGCTAAGCTAAAATTATCTAATTATCTATTTCCATTAATGTTGCAGATTGCGTTGTTCCTAATCTTCGAATTGGATCCGGATTATTATTTTTTGCAGACTGTTAGAGCAATTTTATAAAAGTAAGCTTGAACTTTCGATTATGTCAAATAGAATTTCCAATATATATTTACTAATATGTAAAGGATATACAAAGCGAAAGTATCTTTATTTAGAGTCCATTAAACAAAAAGTGGAATTGCTGCAAAAAATGGATAAAAGCATATCCTTTGTTTATCTAAACTTTAACGTTTGTTTATCTGTAACGCGGCATCGGCGTGCAATGAATTGGAAGTTGATCTGTCAGCACTATCCTTATCTTAAGGGCAGATGTTTTTACTTTATTTGGCTTATAATTGCTTACTCAATGTAGTATTTCATCTCGTCTTTGATATGATTTAAATCAAATGCCTCGTCATTATAATTCGCTTCCGATAGCGAAGAAAGTGACAGAGGTTATTGAAAACGAAAAAATTTCGATTGACAAATTAGTCGGTATTCTCGACACAGCAATTATAGGACTTGAACAGCGGAACTTTGTAACTGAACAAGAAATTATGTCCGTTTATAGAATTAAAGAGAATGTATTATAACATAAAAAACGAAGCAACTTAAACAACTTACATTGAAAGAAATGTTTAATAAAGTAAACAAATAAATATTAAGCTTTTGTAAATTTTGATAACCTTTAGATCATAATTGTTCTTTATTCCGTAAATTACGGTTTCATATTTTTAATTTTATAATTTATGCATGCCATTTTACCAGATTTAAACTGATGATCTATAATCCGGAATCGCCGAAGTCCCGACGAGTCCGGATTAACGACTTTTGACTGTATATGTGTGTGTGTATGTGGGAGTCGGAGTCATTAAAAATTCCAGGAGTCGGAGTCTAATTCCAGGAGTCAGAATAAGTCTGTGCAATCATACATCTTCTCAGTTTCTTTAAAGAGCTTATCATTTACATTACTATTTGTCTGCTGTGATTTTCTGAATCTTCTAAAAGCCTTTGATATGACTTCACTTAAAAAATGAAAAGACAATCTGCAGGTACCAAAGCTGGTGAATAAGAGATTGGGAATTGTAACGCTTTTCATTCTAAGAACCATTTGACATTTACTGAGAACAATTCCATAACTGTGTAATTGTTTTTGTCATGCAATAGAAATCAGTTGTTTGATCAGTTATTATTGAGCTTTTTCATGCCTAATGCAAAGGAATCCAGAAGATGCAAATGACTGTTATTCAAAAGTAGGTTTTCGGTTTCTTACCTACTGTGTTTCATGGGCGGTAGGCCAAAGAAATGCAGCTCTCAGTTGGAAGATATGCTCACTCCTGACTGCAATGTAGGGGTGCACTATGTTTTCATATTTAGTGCAGAGTTACTGATGAGTTCTTCAGGTATCAGTCCTCTTGTGGTGCTAATTATAGTTGTGGAATTGTTATTGGTGGCATATTGCCAGAGATTTTCCAAGAGCATTCCACACATGCCCGGTTCAATTTAGGTACAGGGTCTGTTCAATCCAATTTATGTGATAAGTAACTTCACTCTCCAACAACTTAGTGACAGCTTTTGTTAAATAAGATGCAGCAATGCCACATATATAGAACTACTTGGAGTTTGTAGCATTTTGGAAAAGATGTATATGAGAAAGAAGAACCCTAGTATAATAGTGGCAATTAGTAATTAAAGCTTCTTGGAGGATATGAAATTCCATATGTCTACCAGCAATATGCTTCTCCAAGCAAGAACCCTACATTAGTGCCTTTTGACAACACTTGTAATTGCATTAGTAATAACTTTGGTGTTTATGTGTCCAAAATAACTAGTGAGGTTAAACTTGTTTTCATCTGTAAGCAGTGTTCAATCTTTCTGCTGGATTTCTTAATCTGTATATTCTTGCCATTACTGAAAATGTCTTGTTGATAGATTAGCATCAGTGATACACATTATAATATAAACAATTGCTATGCCTCTAGTCTCTTGGCCATTGTGAAACAAGGTACTGGACATTAAGAAACTTTTTTTTAACAACTTTTTTTTTTCAAAGAATTTTTTTTAACAACATACACTGCATGCAGAATTGGCACTAAGCATTTTGCCATCAGGTATAATCTCTGGGAGGCCTAAATTCTGTTTGCCTAACCTCCCTAAATTCTAAAAATTTTGCTGCCACTAAATTCTGCTACTCAATGTATCCCCTGAATTTAAAAAATTTTACCATCTTTAAATTTTGCCATTCAGTGCTTCACTAAATTCTAAAAATTTTGCACCTAATGCAGCCTTGACTGCATAATCTTGCAATTTTACCTGCTATTTGCTTTTAATCTCTCTCATTTGGAATAATCTCATCTAATTTGGAATAACATTTGGTTAAGAATTGGCAGGTCCAGTGTTCAAATCATGCTGGCAGCATTGTTGTTCCATATCATTCTATAATGGTGCCAAACTGAAATCTGGTAGAACTCATCACCACCAGCATTTGGCATTTGGGTCCATGCTTCCCCAGTTGAATTTTTAGTGGGGGAGAATATATTGTTTTATCGCCCTCCTTACCAGGTGCCTTCATGGAATAATTAGAAACTTGTCTGAATAGCAGTTGTGAAATCTAGATTCCTAATCCCATTAAGGGCAATGCACATGTTTCATGTTTCTGACATCAATAAACCTAATGACTCTACATTATTTGTGGAACCATTTATTAGGCATATCAACAGCAAGTTGACATTGTTCAAACCAGTGAACACTGTGTGACAGTTTCCACTGAGATCCTGAGCATGCAATGCATTGTTCTTCTGCTTTACATCCTACTCGCACATCCACAGTAATCCACAGTATGTCATGCTATATATATATGCACATGTTTTATTACGAGTAACCCCAAACTAGCCTCTAACTACTAATTCAGAAGTCAAACAACTAAAATCAGCGTTATATTTTCAAAACTTTCACAGGACTAGTTTCGATGGTTTTACCGAACCACCATCCTCAGCTGCAAAACCGCAAAATGCGGTCATTTTGCGGAGTTATGAGGTATTTTTTTAATAATAAACTACTGTGCAAAGAACTTTTTTTTTCTTTCAAACCACTTAAAAAGATGGAGACGTTTTTAACAGTAAATAATTTCTTTGTTACAAATAACATTTTATGGGGAAACTATGTACCCAGTAGTAAAGCAGCAGTTTAACTGGAAGAAAAAAAAAGATTCAATGCAAAGGTTGTTATCCATCAGTGAGACATTGCAGAAAAGAAACTAGAGCCAGAAATACATCATGTGCTGCAGGATGTTATCAGTGTAGTTAATTTTATGAAAACAATACCCTTGAATAATAAAATATTTTTTATAATATGCAACAAAATCAGCAGTAGCTATTAAAATCTCATGTACCACACAGAAGTTCAAGAGAATCATGATGTGGAGGAAGAATTTAGAAAAGGAATCATGTCTTACATTTACACATTTAAAAAATTTGGAAACAGAATTTTGTAACTAATTTACAGATCTTTCTAGTATTAAAATAGAGATTTGATGGATCATGAATTTATTTGCTGAAAATGTAAAAATAGATAAGCTTTTAATTGCAACTCAAGAACAATTACTTGACATGAGAGAAATAACATTACAACCCAAATTTAAATAAAACTCTTCAATAATCGATGGCTGGAACTAAAAACTGAAAATAAATTATAATTTAGTAATAATAAATAGATAATAGAAAAATAATTTAGTAAGATTTTTTACTAGTAATTTAGTAGAAAATAATTTAGTAAGCACAGCTATGAATGTAATATTACAGTTTGGTTTTTAAAGTTTGAAGATCACTGCTGTAGAGAACAAATATGTACATTAAATTGCTTCTTCTTTTTAAATATTGTTTAATTTATAACATTTTTTACTAATTTAATAGTATTGTTAAATACATTTATTTTTTACATAAATATGCACTAGTAGATTTATTTAAATGTTTTTATTTTTTAGCAGGATACCATTTTTTCAATTCTTACTACGGAAATAAATTATTTAGTCAGAAAATTGCTGGGAACTGAACAGAACTCTGAATATATTCTTCAGTGAGTAATAACTGGCATGAAGTTTTATAGCATTTAAACAAATTTATTTATTTAGAAACTGCAAGTTTTTTTGTTTTTTTAATGCCATTTTTCTGTACATTTATAAGATGAAAATGATAGCATGCTAATTATTTTGTATAAAATACAAATTGGTATTACTGCGTTATCTACCTAATGCTGACAAGAATCACCGAGTAAAAGTGCTGTGTTGTCAAAATAAGCAATTTTCTGAAAGTGTATTTATCTGTCAACCCACATAGCTTCACATGCTTAACACTAGTGATTTACAGCTAGCTTGGTGGTGGTTTTCATGTTTATGTTTTCTGTTTGCTGTAATTAGTGTATGGATTTTTCTCCCTTTGTTATGAAGTGTAATACCATAGTGGAGTTTGCCTGCTAATGAAAAAGAAAGTGTTACATTTTTTTCAGAAATATGGCTTTTTCCTTAATAGTAGAGTGTGTAGGAATGTGCATTGCATAAAGATAATTTGTACATTTCTCTCTGTCTTTTTTACTTCCTTATACAAAGTAAAAAGGAAGTATTATAATCATGAAAAATTTCAGATATCATATTTCAATGAAAATATCCATTTTGACCATTATCGAAAGCAATTTAACGATGTTTTTACGTGACATCTGTACGTAAGGATAGAAAAAAGGACTCTGTTTTCCCCAAAAAATTATAAAATTCATTTAAAATAAAATCTGAAGAGAATTTTTTCATGGCGTCTGTACATATGTATGTATGTATGCATCTCGCATAACTCAAAACGAGTAGCCTCAGAACATTGAAATTTTACATATAGGATTGCTATAACATGTAGATGTCACCTCCCATTTTAGTTGCAATCGGCCACACTAAAAATATATGTATAATATATCTACACTATTACTCGGCTCAATGAGCTCAGTTTCTTTATTCTTATATGTTCGTAAATTGTGCATTTTATGCATTAAAAATTATTGAATTATGCTGTTTTTATCTTCTGGTTAAGATTTTTATGCTTTTAGTTAACTTGCATGCAATAATCATGGAATTATCAACAATTTAAAAGTTTTTTAAGTGCAGCTAAGCCTAATTTTTGTTTAGCATAGCAGCTATATTTGTTTACATTTGAAACTTAGCAGAATAGTGCATTTGTTGCCAATCTAGAGAAATAAGTTTCACAACAACAAAGTAACAGCTTTTATTATTGCGAATTAAATTATGCTTAATTCATCCTGGAATTATCATTTAAGTTATTAGCTTGTTTCTGCATAGAAACTAATTTTAATTGTTTTAACTGTACTTGGTGTTTTATGTTTTTCTATATCTTTCATAACTGAGGACTGAATTAATTAGTAGTGCAAATGCATTAGGTAAGTGGTGCTGAATCATATGTGAAAAAATTGTTCCTTTTTATTTGTTTAATTTCTTTTATTCAATGTTTTAGATTTATTATAGTATTTGACGAAAAATTGTGGTAATTCTTCAGATGATATGATTTTTGTGCACTCTGAGTTATAAAATGAATGGGATGACACTGTTTCAGTGAACCTAGCTCTGAAGTATCGCTATAGAAAATAATTATAGTAAACTTTAGAGTGCATTTATTCTGTTATGGTTTTATGCACTATCGACGAAGTAAATTTAATTCAAAATTCGTCAACTGTTAATTAAATATGTTTAAAAGAAATGGAGGAAAATTGCCTATAATTTAATACTCTGTACAAGGAAGTCATGGTGTACACACCAGATTTTTTAAAGTTAAAATACACTATTGTTTGTGAAAAATGCAACACCATGAAGGAATTGTCGGAAATGAACGAACTTTATTACCCGTATTACTGAGAGTGGTACAAATAAATGATCAAATTTACAACACACAGACAAAAAAAATCTGCACATCAGAAAACAGTACTTTGTGTTTCCTTCACACTGAGTGATGAGAGCCTGTACATATCATGTCAATGAATCTTGTAAGTTCTGAATGTAATCCTTGGGAATGGCATTCCGTATGGCTTCGACTTGATGCTAAAGTTCAGTCTTAGTGTGTACCCCTCCAGCTGTATGAGCGATTTCCCGACCGATGAAATCCTAGACATGCTCAGTGGGTGACATATCTGGGAATAAGTAGGCCATGGAAGAAGCAAAACCTGTTGTGCCCTAAAGAGAGCTTGTGCTGTATGAGAAACATGTGCAGCCTGTTGAAATAAGGCACCTGGAATGGAATCACCTCTGGCTCCACAACTTATGTAGTGATGACTGTTGAGGTTGGCTGCAATCTGCATTAGATGGAATCAACAGTTATATCTAATAGACCCTCACATCATGATGCTGGATAGGACATTGTGGAAGCAGACATTCCCGTGACGCATACTCTTACATCATTGTGCTCCAGACTGTAATAAGAATCATCGAAGAAAACAACTTGTTGCCACAGGGCATACCATGTACTCTGTTGCCAAGCCCATTGAAGTCTGAAGTGTCTGTGATTCAGCAACAGGGGACTCCTGCTAGAGGAATCCTTGCATGCAAGTCATGCTGCAACAGACAGTCACAAACTGTGGAGCTAGGCAACACAACACCTGTAGCTGTGCTCCAATGTTGTGCTAACACGGAGGTCATTGTACAATCCATCACAGCCATGCAGATGAGGTGTCTTATGTCCCATGCCATTGTGCTTTTTCGTGCCTCACTTCCAGGATTTTGTGCTGTTTGGTTCTCCTCTGTCTATTTCTTCTAAACATGCATCACTCTTGTGACACTATGCTTCTTACGAGCTGCAGTTGCTTGATACAAAAGTTCACCCTTTTGCATCCCGACGATGCAGCCTAGTTTGAACTTTGTTAGCAGTTAGTATGGCACCCTCCACTGTTGTCGGGGCATATTGACCACTAACTATGTTACCACATGCAGAGGATGATAAACACATTTCAATGCAATTTTACAGTTCTTTATATACATGGAATAAGCAGCTGCTTGTCATTCCATGCATGTGCAATCATTTTGTAATTCTAATCATTTGCATAATGTTACGTTTTTCTTTACACTAAGGGATAGTGGATTTGGAGTTAATAACGATGACACTCGATGAAATATTGAAACACAGTTAATTAGCCAGTATTACTCAGGACAACTCCAAAATCACATTTTCAGTCGTCGAAGAACTACTATAAACATGCTGAAATGATCAGGAGCACAGCCTTCAGGCTATCATGGTAAAGACAACTTCACGGCAAAGCACTAGAGTACAGCTCCCGACTCAGTTCAGCCATTCTTGGAGCTCTACTTACTCTCGAGACTCTACATGTTAAAACTCGCACTCAACGATACACTAGAGTGCAGCTCCCAAACTCAGTTCAGTCATTCTCAAAGCTCAACGCTATCTAAGATGAAAATTCGACGATGCACTAACTCGCAATACACTAAACGACTCTCTTGAAGCACTTGACTGGACTATGAGACACTTGCTCACTGACTCAACTAGGCACTTGTAACTGATTCGCTAGATGAGACGCTGACTTATTCTCCATGTACCAGCAGGGTTTATATAGCTTTTGGCTTGTGTTTGAGAATAATCTGTGCTAAACCAGTAAAAATTCATTCCATAAGGTTCTCTTTCCGTCTATGCCATATCGCGAATTTTGTCCTCAAGTTGGCGGTTTCACACCAAATATAGCAACCCTGCCTTCCCTTGCCATTTTCTGTAACCCTAAACCTGCTTTGGGGGGAAGCTATCCTACTGCGGCTGGACATTTTGTAACAATAGCTTAGCTCGCTTTACATTTGCTAGAAATTTTGTTCAGTTTACATATTCCTTCATGGTGTTACAGTTTTCACAACCATTAGTGTATGTTGATGAAAAGCATTGCTAAGATATGCAGAAAATTTTACAATTCTCTGATATTTATTTAAGTTAAAGCAGATCACTGTGCATATGAACAGAAAACCAGGAATTAAGGAAGTTAAGTGTTTTATTATGGATGTTTGTTTTAATTTTAATTTAGTTAAATTTATATCTGCTTTATGTAATTTTCATGCTACCATTCTCTAAAATGGCTACTGATTTTCATGTGTTAGGTTGGCAAAAAATTAGTCACCAATATTTGGCGTGTGAGAGGTTTGGGTGGATAATGCAAACGTACTCACAAATTTTTACTATTTTATCTTTCATTTTTGCTTTGCATAAATTTAACGTAAAAGATCAAAAGAGGAATTTTTATAAGAAATTAGAAAAACTTATACAATTGACTGTTTGTTTATAACGAGATTGTTAATTATGTTTTGGTTATTTAGCATGCATCTTAACTCGCGTTTTTATGGCATTTGTAAAAGTGAAATTGTAATTGATACTAACATGATTTCAATACTTGGTATGATTTATTTATAATTTTTTTCCTTCTAAACTATGAGATTCATTACTCATATTTAATACAAGAAATTATTTAGTGTTGTCATGTTTTTTAAACTCCTGAATACTTTGGTGACTTCTGAAAGGCAGTTCACTTTTGTGTTACTAATTGCTAGTGCAGATTCATTTGGAATAAAATATATATATATATGAAAGGAATATATTTATGCACTAATATTTAAATTAAAAGAATAAACTTGATTTTTCCAAAAAGTATTGGACCACAATTATAAAGTATGTGATTAAATAATAATAACTAGTGTTGGTGTTGAATGCCTAATCATCATCATTCTTGAGATAGCTCTGTGTCAGTGTAAGTGTAAAAAGTGATTCTTTTTTATTCTTAGTCTATTCATATATATCGGCAAAAATCAAAGCATTTGTTGTAAATTTTGTAAAATTTCAAAAGTGTTATAGTAGAAAGAGGGTAGATGTGGTGAATCATTGGGATATTGAAAGTTGGATATTGCCACGTTCAGGTTGCAAAAGAACTCTTGTATTAATTTGAGAAGAGCTATTTGCTCATTAACTGGTTTAAGAATTAATTCGCTTTACTGAATTAATAAATAAAAGAGCAAAAGCTCTTTTTGAGTTCACCCCTTGAGT